TTAATATATTTTTATTATTACTGTGTAAAAATTATAAAAAATTTGATAAAAAATATAAATCGAGATACATTTAACAAGATCTTAGATGATTTTTCTTTAAATTGTAAATTAACAAAGCTGGTTGAATTGGAGTATATGAATAGTGCAGAAGTCAAAGTATTGCATTTTTAAGAAAATGTATGGAGAAAGTTTTAAAATTTGATATTTCAAAAATATAAATCGAGACTAATCTAACAAGTACAACATAAGTACTACCTCCGTTCTTGAAAGTTCGACTCAGTTAATATTCATGTGGTCAAAATAAAATAACTTTGACCACATGTTATGATTTATACAATAGAAATAACTTAGCATGAGGGATTTTATTAGATTCTCCTTATTATAAATTTTTCAAATATCAATTTTTTATAATTTTCACTTATACATAGTCGAAGATATTCATGGTCAAAGATGTTCATTGGAGACCGTGCAGATACAAAGTGAATCGAACTTTCAGGAGCGAAGGGAATATATTTTTCGTTAACTATTTAACTAGATCCCACATGACTATGTTATTCTCATATATAAATCACGAAAGATAGTGAAAGTTTGTGTGAATATTGTAAGAGTCAAAATGATGTAATATTTTAAGAATTTAATAAATATTTAATATGCGAACGAATCATAGTTTAAGAAATATATTAACACTTTGTTTGGATTGAAGGAAATAGAGGGAAAAGAAGGAAAGGGAAATAGAGGGATGAATTGTCTTTCATTTGGACAACAAATAAGGAAGGAAGAGAATTGGAAGGATTAAATTGAAATAAATTAATCTCTCTAACAATGGAGAGATTTGTAAGGAAAACTCATCTTTCTTCCCTCCCCCTCTCCTCCCTCCCCTTCTTTTCTTTCCTATTTCTTTATCCAAACACACCGTAAATGTTTAATACACGAACTAATCATATCATTACCCCTTAAAGTAAAGAGTGATGAAGCTAATTAAGTAAGGAAGGTTCCAGAAAAAGAGAGACTTTCCCTTCAAAGAAAGGATAATTGGGTGCATAAAGGAAGTAGATGCATGTATTGTTACCAATATAGTAAAGCAATTAAAAAATTGAAGTGAATCACGAAAATGAGCATATTCTACTTGACTGTTGCTTTAGATAATCGTGATAATCCAATTGCCTTTTGAAGCCGTTGAAGTACTACAACTCAACTTTCTCTTTAAGTTAGGTGGCTTTTATGGGTTTTTGGCTCTACCCCATATTTCATCTCGTAAATTGTTTGATTTTTTAAATTTAGTTTTCTATTCTTTCAAACCCTTGATATAGGTGAGTTTGATAACGTTTTAAGACTCTAAACTTTGGATGTATTAATGTATTATTATCATCTTATAAATTATATTGTTATTGTAATAGGGGATAACTCGAATTTGATTGGACTCGGTTCAAATTCACCTTGTTCATAATGATTATATCGATTATTATGATTTTAAATTTTTTATAATTGATTTACTACTACTTTAGGACAATGTTATAAAATTGATCTGTTTGATTATAGTTACCAACTGAAGTGATAAGAACCTTGATAGTTAGAAAATACCTGAGTATTTTATGAGTATATGTGGTAATATTCAATTCTATTTCTAATTTTGTAGCCAAGGAGTATTACTTTAACTGGTTCGCAAAATGATACTCTCTCTAAATCCTACTTATTTAATGTAACAACAAAAACTCAAGGACAACTCAAACAGGATAACCACTCATGTGAGTATTTTTGCTTTGAAAAAGAGATATAGAAAGTAAGATAATTATTAGTATAAATAATTAGGTACAAAATGTGGGAAAAACATTGGAAGATTATAAACTATGAATAAAAGGTTGATAACTTAATATAATTGCAATAACGTAAAAGTGAGTATAACTTAAAAAAAATGAATGAAAACGAAAAGTGACTAGAACTTAAAAACGGAGGGAATATGTCATATTGAGTTGAAACCTTGGTGATGTTAATCAAGCGAGTTATTGAGATCCATTGGAAGTCGGGGGGGGGGGGGGGGTGGGTGGGTGGGTGGGTGTAATACCTCGTATTTTTATACGTGTTTTAATTTAAATAAGTATTTCTTAAAGTATTTAAATAATTCGAAATGAATTATTTATGATTTTTATTAATTTAAAAAGAATTATTTTAGTTAAAGTTTATTTTTAATTATTTAATAATCTTGAAAATATTTTATTTTATGGTTTGGAAATATTGGGGCATATTATTTTATAAAAAAGATAATTTTTAAAGTCAATGGTATTTACGAAAATTCAAAACACTAGTTTGACTAGGAAAAAGATCATTAAGGGATAGTAAAGGAATTTTAAGTAGGAGGGATATTGAGAGGTGGTATAAATACCCATCATATGCCTAAGGTGGAGTGCACCCAAAGGTAAACTCTCTCTCTCATCTTATTTTCTTTTCCCCTTAATTTTTTCCCTTCCCCTTTATTTTATTTTATTTTCAATCACCACCCACACACCACCACACACGGCGGGCGCCACCACCACACGCCACCACCGGCTGGTGGCCACCACCACCGATGCACACCAACAGCGGCGGCCACTAGGTGGGCGCGTGGCAGCCGCCCAGGCATGGTGGTTCGTGCGCCCTTTTAAAAAAAAATATTTCTTTTTGATTTTTAATTCAATTTAGCCTACATCTAATTATTGTTTTTGGGTTTGGTGATGATTTTAGGATGTTTGATGATAAGTATTTTGTATATAAATTTTCAGATTTGGTTTTGAATTAAAAAGCCCCAAATTGAAAACTATTGTTTATTGGTGGAATTTGATTATGGTTGATTAAAACTATTGAAATAAGTGTTTTAAAATTAAATTACAGCAAGTTAATAAGTTTTAATAACGCTGGAATTTTTATATATACCTATAATTTTGAAAGGATTTTTAATTACCCATTAATTGGGAATAAAAGTAAGGGTTTTAAATTAAATTTCAGCTTATTTTAGAGGGTTTATGAGTGATTTAGAGAGTGTATATTTTGCTAGAAATTTGTGTGGAAGAGATATAAATACTTCTTTGTAATGTTAGTTTGTAGGAGACTTTCAAGTGAGTGATTTTATTTAGTCGTGGCGATTTTAAGGTCATATTCAAGGTACGTTCGTGTACTAAGTAATTATTTGAATATGTAGAAGCATGCTAGGCTTTGATAAATTAATTCCAAGTAGTATCATGGTATGTGATGATTGGAATTTGTTGATTGAATTGATGTTAGTTAATGATTTGTGATGTGTGAATTATTTATGGTGAATTGGTGATTGGAATGAATTGTGTTTGTATGTTGATTATGAACCACACTTTTATTGTTGGCATGTTAGAGAGCATGTGTAGTTAAACTAAATGTTTAATTTGGTTTGGAATATGAAAAAGGGAATTTTATTATGGTTCATATAATTTTTATTGATGCTTTAAGCATGGGAATTGAGCTATTTAAATGTCTTAGTACACAGGATTAAATTATATTGCGGTGCTTAAGTGTATTTAAGGTGTTTCTAACACCGAGGGATAGGATTTGCGGCGCATTATACGTTTAAGGTGCCTTTGACACTGAGGTAGTTTAAAAAGGATTCAACATTAAATTTATGTGAACACTAATTATTCAAGAATTAAATCGGTATGTTTGATTGCTTGAATGAATTAATATGTTTGATTGTGTTATGGTTTGAGAGTCATCACCAAGTATAATAATATATAACCCACGTAAAGTGAAAGAGATTACATACCAAAACTCTTGGAACGTATATAACTTGAGTATGAGCATATAGGGGAAGTTATGGGGTTTTATATTTAGCCATGACTTCTACTGGGAGTACAGGACGCTGTATTTTCCTTTTTATTTATTTTATGCGCAGGACGTCCGGTCACTTTCATGTGACATTTGCTTACCCGGTTAGCTCCCGGTGTAGTTTACCTCAATTTATTTGTGGCAGAGATTTAGTTGGAAACCCGTTCGATGTGTAATCAAAATTAAATGAAAATTGGTATTTGTCTAATTAAGTGTTGAGTGTTTTGTATGCTTGTAAACAGGTGCAACAGGGTAAGCTGTGTGATGATAAGTTGAAAGCATGTTAGTGTGTTTTAATTACGCTTATGTACTCAGCATTGCTGATTGTGTTTGTATGTTTTTTTGGCCTTGTCTTTACCTTGACCCTACGACGACCCATTTCTAATGGCGAGTAGTGGGGACAAGTAGAGAGAAGCTTTACAGGTGGTGAAGCATATTCATGATGGGCTTGAATGAAGAGCGAATCATGCTTAGTTCTCATAGGAATATGATGTATTTTATTTGCTTTGAATATTATTTATTTTATTCTGTCCATGAGACTAACGCAAATGTTTTTTATTTAAATTGTTTGGTTTTGAGGGCCTATAATGGTTCTAAGTTTTAGGTTGACTTTGTTTGACTTAGTTTGACTTTTACTTTCGTTTGGTTTGACTTTTTAAGTTGACTTGTTTTAAATGGTTTTAAAGATAGTCTTCCGATGTGTGAGTCTTTGATATTTGCCTTAGCCGTTTTCACGGTGGCGGTCATGCCTTAGATTTTCCTACTTCGTATTTTAAAAGGGCAAAATAGGTATTTTAAAGGAAATAAATTTCTAGGGTGTCACAGTGGATGGGTTATGGAATACCCAAATTTCTACAGGATAATGGTGGAGTTTGGTTACACAATCTCACATCAAACGTTATCTATTTCGTGTAACATTGCTTAATTATTGACCCAATGTTGGCATTGTACAGAAATAAGCTGTAAAGAAGGGTGATCTTTTCTTCTTGCTGGGTTTAGTGGAGGCTGTCTGTTGGCGTTTGTCAGTTGTTAGTTCATTGAGCTAAGACACATTGCTTCTGCACGGGCCGTGTGGCGAGCTTCGGTTTGTTACTGTGAGAAGGTCATATGTGTGTGGGCCTACATGATACGGCAATATTGGCAACTTATGTTTGATGAACCAGGTGGCAAAATGCTGGATAATGTGTAGCTTCATTAGAGCAATGCACCATTAGACCAATATTTAAGGCAAACCAACAAGCATGGAAACCACGAATTCGGGTTATGGACCACGATCAATGATGGAATCTCCAATATTATTCTCTTCATATAAGTGACAAAAAAATTATACACGTCTATCGGTGGTGAAATTCACCAAAGATGAACAATAACGGTTTCCTCCAGTCTCAAATTTTGATCACAAAGTAACACTCCCTATCAAATATAATCTCGTTTTTGCTCCTCATCAGCTACATGATTTACTGTTACCTTCTTTCAAAGAGAAGTTAACCACTTCCAGATTTCAGTGTATTACTCAACCTAAAAAGAGTCAAGAGAATATTTACAATCAGAAATATCGCGTAGACAGTTAAAAAGGAAGAGTTCATTAGGGAAAAAGCAAAGCATACCAGTCTAAGCCCTCAAAAAGGCCTTCTCCTTTGGTGGCAGAAGTCTTGAAGATTGCCCATTGTCGGCTTTTGATCTTGTGAAGCTCCAATGCCTCAGTAACAGCAGCATCGTCAAGTGCACCTGGCAGATCCTTTTATGCAACAGAAATTTGGGATGGAAAACTTAGATAAGTGGTCGGTGATAATTAAATTAAACATTTTAACATGATTAAATGACACATTATTGATAATCAAGAGCAGGGTAACACAACCAACCTGCTTGTTAGCAAAAATTAGGACCACGGCGCCCTTCAGTTCTTCCTCCTGAAAAGGAATGGAGTTCATGATTTGCATTTAAAAATCTTCATCAAGTCACTTCAACATCAGAAATGAATCAAAACAATACTATTATACTTCCTCCGTTAACGGTTAGTTGCAACATATACTATAAATAGGTGCTACCTATTAGTTGCAACAAAATTATTTTTTTCCTTTTTTAGTAATTTTTTTATGGTAAAATGACTAAAATACCCTCATTTAAAAATTATTAACACATAATACTACACATAATTACAAATTATTATAATCCTAATCTAACTTAATTATCTAACTTTTTCCCCAAAAAAATCAGATCAATTCTAAATTTCATCTCACTCTCTCCTCCATCTTCATCTCCCCACCATCTCTCTCCTCCATCTTCTTCAATCTTCATCTTCTTCCTATCATCATCATCATCTCTCATCTTCTTCCTTCTTCATCTCTCATCTCTCATCATCTTCTTCGTGGTTGTGGGTGGCTATTTCGTGGATGGTTGCTTCGTGGGCGGTGGTGGTGGGTTCGTGGGTTTAATTTTCTGGGTTTGAATTGGGTTCCTGCGGTGGTGGTGGGTTTGAATTGGGTTCCTGCGGTGGTGGTGGGTTCGTGGGTGCAGATCATGGGTGGTGGGTTCTTGGGTTCGTGGGTGTAGGTTGTTGCTGGGTTGTTACGGTGCCGCTGGGTGGTGGTGGTGGTGGTTTCGGTGCCGCTGGGTGGTGGTGGTTTCGGTGCTGTAGGGTGGTGCTAGTGGTAGTGGGTTATTAATTTAATTTTAGTTGAATTTGTTTTTTTTTTTTTGGTTGGATTAATACTTAATCATATGCTCTTAATCATGCTTTAAAAGTTTTGCCTTGGCTTCCGCGAAAGGTACACTTGTTGCAACTAACCGTTAACGGAGGAAGTATATGAAAGATATGTAGCAGCTTGATATAAATCAAAACAAGATTGCACAATCACATTAGTTTCAACTTTAAATCCTAAGTATATGAAAGTAGCAATAATATACATAGAATTGAATGACTAGAGACAATACCTCCAAAATAGCATGAAACTCATCCTTGGCTATTGCAAGCCGATCAGTATCACTTGAGTCTACCACGTAGATTATTGCTTGAGTGTTTGGAAAATAACATCTCCAGTAAGGCCTGGTTTATAAAGGGCACATAGAGTAGCAGAGTAAAAAAAATAATAAGAGGTGAGCATATATCAATAATATGTCATGCTCTAAAAGTCAATAGAACTGAAACTGCAAAACTTAGAAAACCCAATTTCTTTCTTAAGGCTCCTGTAAAAGCTTAGTGTACAAAAATACAATTGGAGAATATCTTTCATAATGTGCCACAAGAATACAAGGATTTAAAACAAACCAAACAATTTTGGGATAGTGTCCAATCAAATCTCAGTAATATATTTTAGCTTGCACATAGAAGGAGATATTCTGGAGGGGATTCTCAAAAAAAAAATGCTACCTTCTGAAAATACCAATCAGTAAGGTGGCGTTAGTTAAGCAGCTGATGTATAAACTAATCTGGACAGGGTCGTACAAAATAAAGCATTAAGAAAATTCATTATCCATGCCCATTTCTGCCAAACACAAGAATTGCTAACATGAGATAATAAAGTGCATTCCCTCTAGCCAATGCATGCTAAAACTGATATATCTAGGGCATAGCGTACACAGTTTGCTTGCATGCTGCCCTAGGCACATCAAGTTGTGGTATCCATAGAGCATACGGTTTTTATTATAGCTTTCCATCAAGCCCATTACCTAACATACAGACCAGAAGGTGGCACAAGACTGAGTAAGCAGCAGGTTATGATCTATGTGAGGACAATCAATCTCCAATTTGCTTTCCTTTGGTATTTAGTGCAAGGTTGAACTTTAAAAGAGACATGACTCTTCAAGCCTAACTGGGCAACCAATTTTCAACATGGTTCTACCAACTCTAATACACTTTAACTTAGACTGCCAAGTATATCATAGTATCACCAGAATGCCAATAAAGAGGCTCCCACCTAGGGCACATAGAATGGTTTCAAATGTAGATAGCCTTACAAGTAAATGTCATTACATTACAAAGGAGCCATATATTCTGCACCAGAAAAAAGACATTAAATACATTAAATGTAGGCCCAATCACCCATTCCAAATACAAAATTGAATGGCACAAATGTCCTTCACTTTTGATTTAACAAGACACCTCCTAATCCCAAGTTAGTAAAATAAGGGGGTGAAACTGTAGAGAAGCTCAGAGTTGTCCAGTTTGAAAATCCACTCTACGTCTTTCTCACAGAACTTATATTGGCCCACTCCCAAATTCTTTTAGATCAAGGTTCCTTGTTTCTCTCATCCTCAAAGCAAACAAAATTCAATCAGTATAACCATGATGGAAATGATAGCAGAATTTCCATTGGAACACCAGTGCAGATAGAAGTGCCAGTGTCCCACAGTGTTAGTGACAGATTAAATGGCAGTTTTGGAAAATATGAGAACATGGTGGTGGTGCACTTAATGAAAGATGCAAAGAGACCAGTGGGAGCTAGAAGTACTGCCATTGCAGGAAGCACTACTGACAGTGATAACTTGAGTGGAGGCTATGTTGTTCAAAGTTAGTTGGTAGTGTCAATTACCGATACGTGTCCTCAAGGAGTCAAACTCAACCTTTTTATAGAAAAATTTACCCTTTTATTGGTAATAAAATATACAGTCAAGTTTCTATTTAAACATTTGACACTTTAGAGCCTAATAACTATCATTGCAGTTTTTAATTATTTGAAGTTCAAAGATATAGATAGCATATAAAATCCAGAAAGCATGCCCTTATATAAACACAGACACATGTCTGAAGCTTTCATTTGGTTAGCCGTCAACAAGGAAAAACTAACAAGTTGACTGATTTTGGAGCAACATCAGAAACTGATCTCCAGCGCCACCATAAAAGGGCATATTACTCAATGCATGAAGACAAACAGGAGTCATTATCACCAAAATACTTAACTAAATCTTTTAGCTTTATGACATAGAGATTGGGTATTAGGAGGTACCTTATACTTGTCTGCCCACCTGAGTCAACAGGAAAAACAACAAATATCAGGTGAAGTTCAGCAAAATATATAGGCTTCTGACCAACAAAAACATGCATGAAATACCAAAATACATGCATAAATCACATACTGTAAAAGTACTACTGCAGCTTCTGACTAGCAAAGAGAGGTCCACCAAGAAGCTATTAACATGTTCCAGAATACGTACTTTAGGAAACTTCTTAAATTGTACATCCTATGCAGGACAGGTGCAGACAAAACTCTGCCAAGAATTATTGAAAAAGATGTTTTGGTTCTACATATTCCAGTATCTCACCAGACAAACTCACTTAGTATTAAAGCAAATTGTGAATCTATAGCGAAAAGAGAAATTCATCCTGGCTTTAATTGCCAAATTTGCTCAAAAGTGGTTCAGAAAATGCAAGCCATAGAGTCAAAGTCTGAAAGCTTAAAGGAATGTGAGCCCACAAGAAAGTGAAAAATATGAGTATTATCACGGATAAGATAAGAATTGGTATTCAATGCGACATGAATATTACGGCATGTCAGCTAAAGGAAGCAAACTCTACTCAAGGGGGATATTAAAGTCATCATCAAGAAATAGAACAGAAGTTCTGCAGTTGTCAGTTTCTGAAAAAAAATTGGGCATTTATAGAACACATGAGTGGAATGGAACCTAGGTAAGATGTTATAGTAAAGCCTGGAACCATTTATTTAGGTCCCGGGCATTGTAGTTGTCTCGATTCACAAGAAAATTATTTGAATTCTCAAAGTAGAAACTAATTCTACCACAAACATCAACATATGATCCAGAAAGCCAAAAATAAAGGCAGGCATACGCTACCACTCATATATTTGAGGAAAAATAAATAAATGTTTCAAACTGATATCCATGCAAGCAACCAAAGCACTGAAAGAAGAAAAGATGGGGACTCCAAAGTTATGAGTCTGTATGGGTATGTTTTACAAGTAACGTGTATTTTGGATCAAGCTCTGTGTGTGTGAATGAGTGAGTATAATAGTACTATACTACTACGGAGTTGATTATACTAAAAACTTGATCCCGGGGTTAGTAATAACAATCCATGTGACATTCTTGCAAAAGCCAAGTAAATCACAGCGATCACACCCGTATCTGCGCATTATGGGGAACAAATAGCATGTTCATAATGAAAGTACTGGAAGACACAAAGGAGAAAAATCTAATGTCTTGGGCGTGTGTGCCAATCAGGGAGGGGCAGAGTAGCTACTTCTGATTTCATTACTGATTCCAGAGTCCTAATATCTAAAATTTAAAGAATAAAGAAAAAACTTATACTCTAGTAGATAAATTTAACAGACATTGAAACCGGATTAACATTTCAATTAGAAGATGATACGCCAACTAAAGGAGAAACATATTTCCTTGCAATTTTCATTTATACCCACATCACAAAATTTTCATCAATGACTAACAAAATAGACATAATTATTTCCACAATTCTACTAGCTCATTCAAAACACTGATTAGACATTAGACTATGACCCTTGACATCATGAAGCAAATGTGGCTATATTAACACATTATTTCCAACTTTAATTAAGATGTCAAACAGCATTAAAATTATTATTGCTCTGATTTGAAACAAACAAGATCATATAAAGTCGGGTCCCTTGTATTTTGGCGATCATGGTTTTGATATTAAAGAATTTAACTTTAGTTTACTATGGTGCAAGGCTATGACTAATATGTAGTTTACTTAGCCTGAAGTCGTGTTTGAAAAGAATAAAGAAAATATTTACTAAGATCTTGAACAATTATAACTACGAGAAGTTGGGGTAGGCTCTAATAATTTTTCATGTTTGTACCAAGTGCTTCCATATTACTAATCTTCATAGATACATACTTAGAGCTTGTTTGTGCTGATTAAAAAAAATTTCCAAGGAACCATTTTTCCTCCTTATATATCAAGAATTTGGAAGAAAAAGAATTATACAGATTATTCAATTACACCAAGGGCAGTGTCAACCATATACACAAGGAGAGCTAGGATCAGAATATTAATGACCTCAGAGCATTTATAAGTCTCTCAAACCAAAACCCCTCAATCTATAAAGTCATGCTTGGACATGTATACCAAATCAAGAATCACAGGATCCTCAAACAATAGAGCCTCAATGCTTGGTTAATCCTGGCTTTCCCCTCAAATTCCATCGATTCCTTTTCATCTACACCATCAATTAGCTTAAGATACCAGCTCTACATTTCCGCAAACCCATTAATCCTTCCGCTAAAACTTATTATGGCAACCCAAAACACCATTTAAAATTTGGAGTAGCTATTTAATCTTTCCTTTGAATTTCAATCCAAACATCATGATTGTTACCTTATAACCTATGTTCCTCCCCCCAAGGAAAAATGAAAATAGATTGTTGCCTTCACTCTCCAATTAACACAGCTACTCTCTTTGCACATAGTGACATAGCTATGCTTATAATAAACACTATGTCATGACGGTAAGGTGTATATATGTGCTTCATGAATGATTGTCAAAAAAAAATTCTTGTTACTCCAAAATAGCCAAACCTTGAAGCTATCAACCTTAACAATTCAACTTTCGATCATCCACCATGGTCATTCACCCAACCCTAACACCTAATTTTCTCAACACCATAATCCTCACATAGTTTGACTTATTAAAAGGACCCCAGTACCCCACATAAAAACTTCCTATCCGTCCTCTCCTATCATTTTTAGTCAGGATCTCTTCTATATATAGCTCCCTCATTTTCTCCTTCAGTTAAAGTATTCGGAATCGCAGGACCATCTCGAAGCGCAGAAGCAGTAGAGATTAGGGGTCAGCGCATGTCACCCTTAATCATTTCATATGCCTTAAGCAGTAGTTTGCTAGGCCTCCTCTACCATGATAACGGGGTTGGACTACAGATCGTCAAACCCCTTTCATACGTAAGCTAAACCTGCGCTTGCTGTCATGCGACGATTATAGATAGAATGAGCACCCGTGTGAAGATAAATCATGGCTAGGACTTCCCTCCGATTGCCCTCTTTAGCCCTGCTAAATGCCTAAGAGAGAGAGGAATAATCTATGCTATTGATTTATATATGATGCTAAAGTCACCAAACATACAGACATCATAACCCCTCCTACCTATACTTTATATAACTCCAACAGCCATTCAGTCATGGCAACTTACAAATGCCAATGAATTTCTAAGAAATACACATGCACACTAATGATATGGATTCCAAAGAGAACAATTACATTGAAAATGCAAGTCATTGGATTGAAACACTGTCGTTCAAAATACATGATTAAATAATGACTGAGTTCCAAGTTAGTTAAGGTGGTGATAAAAATCAGTTTAGAAATAAAAAGAATGATAGGCCAATAAAAGATCAAAACCAGAGGCAGTCTCTATTGACAATGTGACAATTAATTTCTAGATTTTTACTGTAATTTTTTAATGAATGATAGTTTCCATCCAAAACAATTTATTTGGCAATCTACTCCAAAGTCAACTTCCATCCCACATCACCCACTATTGTCTCCACTTGAACACATTTCAGTTAAGGGTGATTTTGAAATCAGGCCTCACTTAGGAGTGGTCATTTTCTACAAATCCTTGAAAATGTGTCAGCTAACATCCTAGATATGAAAAATATCCCATATACCAAGCTGAAATTTTTTCTGCAATTGTCCTACTACACAGTATATTGCATCCACTGTTATGCGGCATACTAATCCCAACAATACTGGTTCAAAATGTTTAAGGCATTAAGATTACATTATTTACGTCTATCGTTCATAGAATCGGAGGGTACAATTGTACAAGTTTCAAAAAGAGGGAAACCGAAACAGGAGTAAATGTTTGGATTCAAACACTCAAGATAAATAGTGCAATAAAGTTGTAACTACTGTTTGGTATGTTTGTAGAAAAACAAGATCTGTAAACGTTCATCAAATACCATTGAATGTATACTTCTTATTCTTGTTCTTAATCCACAGTCACTACATTGAATGTAAACAACCAAAACGGTTAGCTACTTAGAGCTTATCATCAATACGACAATATCTCAGCGAGAACAGCAGTAGCTTCATCTTGTAAATAACATCATAACTACACTAGCATAATACTTCACTGATACACACATGAATCATGAAGCCAATAAATAACAATTTCGGATTACAATTCCATTACATTGTTAAATCAATCATACATGAAGATTAAAGGCAGGTCAAAGAACTTCAAATTGTGACCTGATAATCCCACCCCCTGACTCTAATCACCCATCTTAAACAATGCAACAATACGAAATCAGGCATAATAACATAAAAATAAGATAGAGCAGGTCACATACCCAGATCCCACACTTGGAATTTAATGTTTTTGTACTGCACTGTTTCCACATTGAATCCAATAGCTGAAAATAACAAACCCCAAAAAAACCAAATCTCAATAAACACTCTAATCACAAGATTAAACACTCTAATCACAAGAATAAACACTCTAATCACAAGAATAAATCATGATATATTAAGAACAGAACACTTACTTGGTATAGTAGAAACTACCTCACCCATCTGAAGCCGATCTGGGGTTATAAGATCAAACACAAAACATCAAAATATGAACAATTAAAAACTACCCAGATCATAAAATTGAAAATTAGAACATGGGTTGAAATCAAAATTGCAAAAAATTAAGAAAAAACATACAGAGAATGGTGGTTTTGCCAGCATTATCAAGACCAAGGACGAGGATTCGAGCTTCTTTATTGCCGAAGAGAGAAGAAAAGAGGCGAGTAAACAAAATACCCATTTGTAAATTGGTATAAAATCAGTGCATCAAATGGGAATAGATCTAAGAAATTGCAGAAATTTTTGGGTATCTTATCTTCTTGCCACTGCAACAAAATCAATGCAAAGCAATCAAGTGAGAATGAAGATTAATAAAATTGCATGAGAAAAATGTTGAAGGAGAAAAGGTGTGCCTGAGTGAGAGACCGCGACTGGTGATCTGGGCAGAAGAAGTCTGCAAATCATAGAAATTAATTCGACGCACACCAGAAAGAAAATATAGAATCGGAAGATGGAAGTGTGGAAAAATGCCAAATTCTTCCTTTCCCTCTATATTCTATTCCCCACTCTCTTAAATTTTTTTTTTCCTCTTTTTTTTTTTTTTTTTTTTTTTTTTTTTTTTTTTTTATATATATATATATATATATTTTTTTTTATATGGGTTTTTAGATCGATGAATCCAATCTAATCTGATCCGAAATACTCTATTCGTGCTTGAATTGTACTTTGTATTTGAAATTAGAGTGATCATACACAATTATATCCGTGATCTATCTTAATGTAAAACTTAATTGATAATAAGCGAATTGGACTCTCACAATCCCACCAAAATACGTCTCGTGTTCAAACTTACCTAATTGACCTTTTTGGTTGATTAGCATGACATTAATATCAAAAACTTCTTGTCAAAAAAATTAAAAAAAAAATCGAAAACTTGAATGAGTTCTTTTCGAATCCTAGAAACATGTCTTTTGACAAAATAAATTTTCGTAGATAGTACAGAAATAATAGATGAAGTGTGGTTTTCCAAAGAAACGCATTAGAAAACTTATTATCTCTAATTCTGACGATCAATAAGTTATTCACATATCCATGGTCAAGACACAAAATCCTATTTGAAACAACATCATATATTACGCAGTCATGATACTCATAAACCTCGTTTGGCAATTGGCGGTTTAACTTGGCTAAATTGACGGATTGTTTAAATTCGCGTATACGTGTTAGGCTCTTTGACTATAGATTAATCTAATTGTTTTTTATTACTATGCAAAATGACCGACACAAAAATGTTTAGCATGTACTTGTGCTTACTCCATATATCATAATTAATCACTATTCACTACACACAAACGTAGTGTTATGAATGAAAATTACAAGTACGAGTATTAAATTTGTAAGTATTGCAACTTTACAAGTACTGTAGTATTAAATTTAAGATTAAGGGTGTCATGCCACATGCGAAACAAACTCACTAGAGTCACTACTACCATTTCTCAGTCCAGACACTCTTGAGTGCTTATCAGCGTATAACACCTATGTGCTTAGAAGGCATATAGGAGGGTAGTATTGTAATTTAACAGGGTAAAAAAAAATTTAAAAGGTAAAGGCTGTCCTTTGGCATCCCGTTATATTTTGAATTGTAACGGTGGGTCCTTTTGCTGAATATGAAAGGCTATTTTCAAATACTTACTTTAACACTTCTGTCATTTGGTCAAAATAGCATTCTTTCTCCTCGTTTTCCTTTTTTTTTTTTTTTTTAATTTCCTCTGTAGCTCCTCTCCTCTATTTACGGTGTTCCATCGAAGAGACAACAACGGCCGTTCCTGCCGGAGCAACAACAGAAGCTTAATGCGGCGGAAACGTGAGCACAGTTGAGAACATTGTAGGTCGCTGCGAGGTTGTGCTTCGTTTGAGTCAAGGTATGGGAGCGAAACACTTGTAGTATCATGTTTAATACAAACTTCTTGTTAGTTAAGAAATTTATGTGTACTTGTTGTATTTGCGAATGTTGGATGTTTTTTTGATGTATTTGGTTATGTAATTTAGGTTATCCACATAATTTAGCGAAATAGGGTTTCGTTTCTAGTTCATGATATTTAATTATTGTTAGTTAAGAAACTAATGTGTACTTGTTGAATTTGTGAATAGGATGTTTTTTTGATGTATTTGGTTATGTAATTTAGGGTTATCCGCTGAATTTAGCGAATTAGGGTCTTTTGTAGTTCATGATGTTTAATTGGAAAGAGTTTGATTGCTGTCCGTAAAACTCGTAAATTGGTAAAATGTATGGCAAAGGGTCGAGTTGTTGCATGTGAATTGTGAAAAATTTAAAATGTTTGGTTTGTGTTGGTCAAAGTTTTGTTGTTTCTTGTGATTTAAGCTCTAATTTTAATGGTTATAGGGTTTTTAGGTTTGTATATTATTATTACAATGTTTTAAGCTATAATTTTAATGAAATTGTTGAATTTTGCCGCTATTTTTGTTGTTTCTTGTTGAATTGCTTCCTATAATACAGGTTATAGGGGATGTATTGAAAAGGTACTAAGAGAAGTTTCAAGAGGAAGCTACTGTAGGGACATGGCAGTTGAGGGAGTCGATGAATGCATACCTCTTCTTCAAATCCTATGACTGCTCATTTAGTTTCACTTGGAGTCTTGGACTGTAAATTAATATTTTTTTTAACTTTTTCTTTCCTCCTGTTGGCTGCTAATACCTTTCCCTCACCCTGCCTGCTGCCTTGATGAACTTTCCCCCTTTACTGGCTGTTGTTTCCCTTTCCCCCTTTACTGGCTGCTGCTGCCCTTTCCCCTTCCCTGCTTGCTACCTATGGTCTTCCACCTTGTCTAAAAATTAGAACTATAATAAGTATTGAAATACTCTAAAGTTTGTGTACTCAATTTATAAGGAGTTTATTGGGATCAGAGTATACCAATAATTTTGCCTAAAAATTACCATATGAGATAGTAATTCACATGCTCATATAACTTCTTCATTATTTATTTTTTGTATTTTTTGGCCGATTTGTCCTTGCATGTTATGGACACTAGTTGAAAGTATCATATTTTTAACTGTTTACTCTTGCTTCTTTTTTTATGTTTTATTTTTATTTTTATAGTGTTCAAGTGTGGTAGCAAGTAGATTAGTCAATGATTTTGTGCTTGGTCATGAGCTAAAAGTTGTCCTAACTTGGATATCATCTGAAAGACTGGTATATTTGTGGGTTTTTTTTTGTTTTTTGAATCTAAATCCGAAGCTTAGTTACATTGAGCATGTACACCTGGATTATACTGCAAAATAGGTACAAAAGAAGGCAGATTTGTAAATCAAGATGACTGTCACTACTTATCTTTTGTTATTGCATTGTAGTATTGAATTTTAAATCTTCAAATTGCTTGATATCTTAGAGATTACTTTTAGATTTGAATGTTCCATGACATATTTTATTTGTCCCTCATGTTGGTATACTCATGTTGTTCCTTGGTAGCCATTCACGAGTTCAATACATGATCAGCTAAGAGTGGAAAATTTTCTAAGGTTGGCTTGTGCTCATGTCTATGTTAACTGTTAGAATAATCTGAAAACTACATCTATATTTATGTCTTAAAGATAAATTCACTATTGTCAGTGAAATTTTATATCATGTGAGTTTTCTCTAAAGCATCATATTGCAGGTTATGACTCCTATCTCACGCACTGCTCAACTTGCTGGTCAATATGTTACAGTTTATTCATTGCTACTTCAATCTTTGATGCTGCTGCAACTTCTGTGCTGCTGTTGTTCTTCCTATGTGGTGCCCTAAGTCGATTTTGAACGACCAGTGCCTATTTGCCTTTTTCTACTGGTGAGATGATCGAGCATGCTTGTGTTCGTATTCGATCAAACTGTGCAAAAGTCCATAAGTTGCTGTCCAAAGTTGATGTTATTGCTCTTTTCATTTGTTAAATAAGCTGCTAGCCTTATTTGTAAAGTTTTCTTACTTGTAAAACGTTTACATTGTATAAGTAAGATAAATTCTACGAGCTTCAAGTATGATTAGTAACAGGGGGTTAAATTTGTGATGGAGAGTTGTAAACTGATCGACAAAGGAGGGCCTTGTGCACCCTTGGGCAACATTTGGTAGTTGCTCCTAAAGTACTTCACCAAGTTTATGTTAATTTCATTTGTGTCCCTTTTATTTTATTTAAAGTACAATAAGGGTTATTCTGGGTGGGGTAAAAGGAGCTGAATAGAGGTTGAAGGTTGGGTTAGTTGGAACATGGAGTTTGTTTTCTTTGCAGCCATTGTTCGGATTTGGGGGGGATGTTTCTTTGAGGGAGTTGAAATCTAGGAGGGGGACTCTACAATCTTATTGTTTGAGGGAGATAGTCAAAGGAAAAGGAGGGAAAATGTAATTTTGAACAATTTTTGGAGTTTTTTACCGAGTTACCAGGTTTAATAACTGGATCCATTGCAGTTTAGGGTACCTACCCCCCATAGGTGTGCAAAAGTAGGCCAAAGACTTGTCTTGTCAATAAAAGCAAAAAATCATCCCAATGGGGTTAATTTGTACTATTTCACCTGCACATTTGAGCAAAAAAACTCCCACTAGATTCTTACTTTACCCTTGAATTAAATGTGGTTACTTGAACTATAATCGTATGTTGTATCCAGTTTTTAGTACTACTATCGTTTTAGTGGTACATTGTAGTCTTTGTTAAGTACCACTGGGTGTAGATAGTTTATATAATCTAGTAATTCATAATTATAAGATTTATAAGGACACGAAATTGGTCTTTTAATTGAACCGTAGCATAAATTACACTGGTTACAAAAATTGCTACAATTTCTAATAGTAATTCGCCCCCCCCCCTCGATACACTAACAACAAGGCGGACCATGAACTAATTAACAAGGCGGACCATGAACTAATTCAGATTTGAAATACAACAAGATGGCTAAAATTAAAATTGTGAGGCCAAATTTCACGATGTTCACGTTTTGATGCTCTAACGCTTCCACCCTATGAACTACTCCACCGATGTTGTTCGGTGGTCCATCCTTCACGAGGTCTAAGTCAACATCCCATTCCCAAAACCCGCATTGGCGGCATTTACAATATGGCCTCTTCGGATTGAGCTCGAACATGGAGATAGTATTAATTAAGTATAGGTAGATAGTATTTGTGTGCATACAAAAACACTTTAAACATATCGATACCCTATATTTGGCAAATGAGTTAAATCAACTATGTATTAAATTAGGAAACATACGCAATTTTATTAGCTAGGGAATTGCAATGGTACCCTAACCCAACACCATGGAACCCTTTGTGTTACAAAAATGTACCACCTTTAGGTAATAGCGGGATTTTCACTGCATAATATTGTACCACTATTATCGCAAATAGTACAAATTGACAAATACCACTCTATCTAGCTCCACCGTTTTCAGGTATACCCTTCATATGATCAAATATTCCATAACCTATTCAGTGGTACCCTTGTTATTATCATACCATCAACTCATCTATGGTTTCCAGTCATACCAATGACATGGTCACATGTACCGTTAATATTACAGGG